ATGTGGGCAGCCCATGTCAGGTCTGAGGAGATGTGGACACCAAGATACTTGAAGGACTGCACCCTCTCCACTGGAGCTCCATTGATGATAATGGGCTTGTAGTCTCTGTGCTGACTCCTTCTGAAGTCCACCACCAGCTCCTTGGTCTTGCCGACGTTCAGCTGGAGGTGGTTGTCCTGGCACCACGATGCCAGATTCTTCACTTCATCCATGTAGGCCGCCTCATCGTTGTTGGAGATGGCACACAACGGCACTGTGTCGTCAGCAAACTTCACAATGGTGTTGGAGCCATGGGTGGCCACACAGTCTGAAGTGTAGAGGGAGTAGAGCAGTGGCGAGAGGACACATCCCTGAGGTGCTCCTGTGTTGATGGTGATGCTGTTGGAGAAGCACCTGCCCACCCTCACCACCTGAGTTCTGCCAGTGAGGAAGTCCAACACCCATGCACACAGACGGCTGTTAAGTCCCAGATCCCTCAGCTTTGTGAACAGTCTGCAGGGCACTATTGTGTTAAACGCTGAACTGTAATCAACAAACAGCATTCGCACATAGTTACCCTGTTTCTTGTCCACGTGGCTGAGAGTGGTGTGTAGGACGTGGGCGATGGCATCCTCTGTGGATCTGTTGGATCTGTAGGCGAACTGCAGCGGATCTGTGGTGTCTGGGATGGAGGAGGAGATGATGTTCTTCAGCAGCCTCTCAAACACCTTCATTACTACCGAGGTCATTGCAACTGGCCGGTAATCGTTCAGGGATGAGGGTTTGCTGTTCTTGGGCACAGGGATGATGGTGGATCTTTTGAAGCATGTGGGGACCACAGACTTCGCCAGGGACTCTTTATCAGTTTTTTCTAGTCTTGGTTCTGTGTGATGTCAGTGAGTTTAACATGGCCATCTCAGGCACACAGCTCTCTGTATGCAGAGGCTCTACTCCAGTGTTTTCCCAAACCACAACAACACTTCCCTCATGGTGCTTTATATTGTAAGGTCAAAACCCTACATTAATACACAAAAACTCCGACCCCCTATGAGCAAGCACTTTGGCGACAGTGGGAAGGAAAAACTCTCTTTTAAAAGAGAGAAACCTCCGGCAGAAGCAGGCTCTGGAATGGGGTGGCCATCTGCCACGGCCAGCTGGCGATGAGGGAAGGAGGGCGGTTTTAAAATTAAATTTAGAAATTAAATTTAGATGCCCAATTTAAATAAATATTTTACGCCAATTTAAGAGTTTTGTCACATAATCGCATGCGCGTTTCAGTTACATTTTAGCGCTGGCATGAGAAAGCCCTAAAGATGACATTTTGGCTCTTCAACTTGGCATGTTTTTGGAAGGTTTTGACGATTACTTCGTCAATCACTGAGTTGCTTGACCTCATTAAGAGTACTGGAGAAGGCAACCTTTCATGGAGTTCATTGTATACTGTCAGGCTGCGTTGTTAAATGTTCTCTGAGGACATTTTGTAGTTTTTGGACAAAATTTTGTTCCAGATCTTATGGGAAACCCTCTGCATAATAAACTCAGATGTATCTGGATGCCATGTTGCCGTCTCATTTCCTTCAGCCATAGCGTGCATTACCAGATCTTTAGTGAAATTTTTCACAACTTCCTTGTACTCTTCCCTGTTTTCAGAGACACTGAGTAGTCTTTTTGGTAAAGCCAACAGGTGTTTGGTGAAGGTTGGGACAGTAATGTTATCAAGCTGTTCTCTCAGATTAAAAGTCAAACGTTTTTCCTTGCAGTTATGTGTTTTGAAAAGATCCTTGAGAATGGCCTTGTCTAGATTTTTCAGGTAATTTGGGGATAGATCCATTTTGGGAAAGATAGACTGTCCTTCTCCTGTTTTAGGATCAGGATTTCACCGTCTCTCTGCTGAAGCTACAAACTGGGGTGTGTTTAAGACTGCTGCCATAAGAGAGGACGGTTCTGTGAATTTAGAGGAATATGCATCAGTGGTCACCAGCTGCATCAGCACATGCATTGACAATATTGTCCCCACCAAGCGATACAAAACATATCCCAAATCAGAAAACACGGTTGAACTCTGAGGTACGTTCCATGCTGCATGCACGCTCCACTGCATTTGCCTCTGGTGCCGCAGAGGGCTACAAAAAGGCCAGATATGACCTGCGCAGATCCATCAGGGAAGCCAAGTGGCAGAACAGTCTGAAGCTGGAAGGACACTACAACAATTCAGACTCCTGACACATGTGGCAGGGCCTGCAACACATTAGTGATTTCCAGCTGCAACACGCTACCAGATGAGCTGAGTTCTACGCTCGCTTCGACACTCTCAACACCAACCGATACAGAGGGATTCTACCAGCAGGGGCAGCACAGAGCTCTTCACTCACTGTGACTTCGACTGAGGTATGCAAGGTTCTGAGGAGGATTAACCCGCGACAGTGACTGACTTTGAGGGTGTGCTCTTCAGAGCTGGCTGAGGTGTTTACAGACATTTTCAACTTGTCCCTCACCCAATCAGCTGTGCCCACATGCTTCATGTCTACCACCATAGTGTCCCTCCCCAAGAAAAACAACATAACCTAATTGAATGACTATCGCACTCACTTCAATTGTAATGAACTGTTTTGAGAAAATAGTCATGTCCCATATCAAAGCAGACATCCCGGATACATTAGACCCTCTGCAATTTGCATATCAGCGCAATCGTACTACTGAGGACGCAGTTAATGCAGCCATCCACACAGCCCCTTTCACACCTCAAAAATAAGGACACCTATGTTCAAATGCTGTTTATAGACTACAGCTCAGCATTCAACACCGTCATCCCAAGCAGACTGGTGGAAAAGCTCTTCACTCTTGAACTGACACCCCAGTCAGTCAGAGTTGGTATCAGGACAACAGGTACAAAGATAGTGAGCACAGGGACTCCCCAAGGCTGTGTGCTCAGTCCACTCCTGTACACCTTCTTCACCTATGACTGTGTTCCTGCACAGGTATACACTACATAATAGAACTGTTACCCCTAACCTGTAAATTTGCAATTTTTGTACAGATCTCTGCATATACACCTTAATATTGCATACTCCATATATATTATCACTGTGACAGTGTTGCAACTACTTTCACTTTAAATTCTGTTAACACCCACATATAAGCTACAAGATTTACAAAGCACTGTTTTACTTATTATTACTTTCTTTTAGTTGTGTGAAGGGAACCCACAAAGTAAGAATTTATCAGTCCCATTTATTAGTATTAATTCAGATATGTCCCTCTGAGGAACAGCTGGACTGGATGGTGAATTTTTGTTTTTATGGGCCAATGTTTGTTTGTTTGTTTGTTTGTTTTTGTAACGGTATAAACAATGAAAGGTGGGGGATTGGCCAATTGGTAACAGTTGACTCTGGGCTGGACCAATTACAGCCAAGGAGGTTGGATGCATCCTCCTCCTTGCTTGAGTAACGGCTCTCAAAGCAGTCTTATCACAGGCAAACAGAAGAAAATGGTATTGAGGTATCCGTATTGAGGTTAAAAGGGACGCGATTTGATCTGTACTTCAGCTAGAATGAAAAAAAGACACAAAGCTGGAGTTATTCTGTGTCTTTGCTGCACAACTGCCTCTTCTTCTCTCATTCTCTCCCCCTCCCTCTCCTGTTGCTACTTCAATCATGGAACTGATCAATGATCAGCTGATTGGCTTTTCTGAAGCAAGTCTCATCTCTCTTGTTTGTTTATCACCCACTTTGCGCCAGAAAGAGGAAACCAGCAGATGTCGCGCTAAACAACAGCAGCACGTTTAAGCTTGATCAGCTGATGTTAGAATTTATTTAATATTACTTTCTAGTTTCAGCGGATGTTTGCTGGAGCCACAGCTGTAAAAGCTGCTGGTCATGATATCTGTTTGGATATGTGGTGAGAGGGAAACATGAAGATGAAACCAGGAGATGTCCTTAGTGAATCATCAGAGCTGAACAGGTGATGGAGAAACAGGTTTACCTTTTAGGTGACATGAAGGAGTTGAAGGAAAGTTATGAACTGTTTCTGAGAGACAAATAACAAAATAAATCATTTTCTATGTAGCTGACAGCTGGTAACTGTGCAGGGGCGAGTCTAGCAAGGTTTTGCCAGGGTACCCGGTAGGGGACAAGGAAAGGGGGGCACAAAGAAATACTTTTCTTTCTTATTCTCATTTAAAATGTCTAGTTTTTGATAAATAATTATCTGAATCTTACAACCAAAGTTTTTATCTGGTGTAAAATGTATAGAATTCATACATACATACCAACAAGACAGTGTACATTACTGTCACAACAGCGTTTCTTTTCATTCAAAGGCTTTATGGCTTTTCCTATAATACCTCGTGGGGCGGTCTCTAGTCAAAATGCCTCTGCCGATTTTTTGTCCCAGTCCAGCCCTGATAAAAAATCACCCCTGATATTCCTCTCCATCCACTCTGCCCTACCTGCACTCTCCTTTACCTTTCTTGTGCACAGACCATTGCTTTGGACGGTTTACCCCAAGTATTTAAAGTCATCAGCTTTCACTTTCTCTGCTCCTTGCAGTTTCACCATTACGGCTGTGTCCCTCTCATTCACACCTATACCTCATAGCTGTCTTCCTGTCCTCATTTATGTACTGCAACCCTCTCACATACTTCTCTGCCACTCCTGATAACCTCGTGTAGTACCACTGTTTCTGTCTTAGCACCCTATCATATGCTTTCTCTCGATCCACAAAGACGCAGTGCAACCTTCTCTATACTTTTCCACCAACAGTCTCAAAAGTCTTTTTCTCCTTCTTTAGTGTTCAGCCTCATATACAAGTTGGTATAAGCTACAATTCATATATATTATATCTATTATATCTTCAATGTACTAATAACTTGAGAACAAAAATGTTTATCCTGAAATATTTACATGTTTGGACTACAGTTCCATAGAGCCCATTCTTTTTGTGTCATCTCGCGAGAAAACGGAAATAGAAATACACGAATGACCTGAAGAGGGCAGTAACGCCCCTTCGCTCCGTCTAGTCCGCCGAAAACTTCCCCACAGGAAGAAGACGACGAAGAAGGAGTTAGCCTTGACGTCTGGTCGTGGTTGGTTGTTGTTGTTTAGCAACCATTTGCTAGTTAACGGGTAGTTTACCTTTGACATCGTATATGGCGCATTAAGCTGGTTATGAGTATATGTGAGGTTTAAAGGGGATTAAAATGGCCCTGCAAAGCTGAGGTAAACTACAGTTTTCATGTTATTGGACAGTAGCAGCCTGTTAGCTGTCATGCTAATAGTTTAAAACAACAGATATTACTACTTATTATGTTTTCTTGTGTGTCATTTGGCGTCTAATTTTGTCTAATATTAAATGAACTAACAGGTTCCTACTTTATGCAACCGTGAGCCATTAACTGTAGTTGCACATCACACGAAAACCCCCTGTTAATGTGGTCTGGGTCCACCTCATGTCGCCATTGCAGCTTGGAATATCTGTCAGGATGTCTGCTCATGTGTTTGTCTGTCAGGATCCAGTGATGCCATAGAGGTAGGAGGCACTGCCAGGGCTCCTCCACCGGAGGACGAGAGGTCTCCTTAGCAATGGCAACCGAACTTCATGAGACCATATTCATGGCCAAGCAGGAGCGCCACAAAAACCTGTTTCTTAACTACAAAAACCTGAACATTTTCCCCGTGGAGCTGCTGAAAGATGAAGGCCTGCAGTTTCTGGAGAGACTTTACATGAAGAGAAACTCACTCACTACACTGGTATCCACACAGTGCATTTTCATTTTACCATATGAGACACTTATGAAACCCAAAGAAAATTTCTAACTACTTCTGCTTTTGCTCTGTCTTTATCAGCCTGACAATCTTGCTCAAAAGCTCCCAAATCTCATTGAACTGTAAGTATTTTGCTAAACTAAGTTTTGTTTTATAAATGATGACAACAGAGAGTTGACACATGCTGTCGGAGATTGATGGTGTGTTTTGTGTTTATCAAGAGGTTTCTAGTGAAGTTAACCACCAGATGTTGCATCACTAAATGAGATTAACTGTCTCTCACATTTAGGTGTTTTCAGCAGCAAACACCAGAGCTGTAATTGTCTTACTTGTCTGCTTGTACATTTCAGGTATTTGCACTCAAACAATTTGGTCATTATTCCCGAGGGTAAGCACATTGTCCAGTACAATAATATTAATAACAGTGTTTAATACACTTGTTTGAATATTAAGATTGGTTTCATTCCCAGCTATTGGAAACTTGGCCAGACTGCAGTCGTTAGACCTGAGCAATAATGCCCTGCAGGTTCTCTGTCCAGAGATCGGCAGATTGAGGTCTTTGCGGCACCTGAGACTGTCCAATAACCAGCTCAAATGCCTTCCTCCAGGTAAGACACAACAGTTGTCTGTCTTGTTTTTAGATTTCCTTTTAGAGGCTTAAATTATTTTACATTATCTTATATTAGCCTGAGTCCTTTATTCAGGGGCATCGGTTTAAGTACAGCTACCTAGACCAGTGGTTTGTCTTGGAGCAAGTCCAGATGTTCCTTCTGATTTTGTGCCAACCATACACTGCAGCAGCACAAACTGAATGCTTAATGTTTGCGAAATCTGATACAAACCAGAATTTAACCCCTGCCCCTCCCCCACAACAAACGTTATACTTACACTATGCATTGGCAACATTTTTATATCATTAGGACCTAATTAAATGAGATCATTGAA